TCCAGTGGCCCATCTAGGGCAACAGAGCACTTGCAGCACACACCATTCATCCTCGGAACTGTGAAAAGCTACAACCTGAAGTCACATCCAAATCCCCACCCTGGGGAGCGTAGTGGTAAGACTGATAAGCCATGTGTGGGAGAACATATCAGACCCCAAGATTCAACATGGCAATAGCGCTGATCCTAACAAAGGCATTTCTGTTCTCCCCTCCAGCAACTGACCTCATTTCCTTTGGTTTTTCATAGAATTTCAGAGCTGGAAAGCCCTTATCTGATACGACTATATTCCAGAACAAAAAACAACATTGGTTCATTTCATAGACTATATTGTAGTAAGATTGGGCTCGGTATATGTAGGGACTGCGTGTGCGGCCATACTGAAGATGACATTGGTGCAGCTGATAACTCTATCTTCTCTTCCCAACTCCTACCATCACTCCTACCCTCAAACTCCCCACCCAACTCAAGCATACACCCCCCACTCAGCCACGAGGTAAAAGATGACATCTCCTATGGGACTAAAACATCCAGCCTCCAACCTCCTTGGTGCAAGTCCCTCAAGTCCTTCCTTCCTCAGCTCACACCATGAAAAGAACAGCTAAGACTCTTCATAATGGTGACCCAGCCTCAATTCTGCAAACTCAGCTGCACTACTCACCAACCTGCAGCCCATATTTTGCCCAATAAGACGACTCCCCACCCCCTCCATGCTTTCCTGCAACTCTGTTCAGGCCACCTCATTAATCAGCAGTCCCTTCCTCCACCTGCCACCTCCTCCAACCCAACCATCTTTAAGAACCTGGGTCGATGCTTGAGAAAGCCTCCACCCCCTGAAAGTCTCCAATGTCTCTCTCTCTGTCTCTCTGTCTCTCTGATCCCAAGCCACAGGGATCACAATTAGCTACACCCACGACTTCTAGCACTATGCCTCTACTAAATACTAACTGCTTAGACAGGCAAGAAAGAGAAGAAATGAAAGAATGATGGAAAAGGTATCAAGCCACAAAGCTTTCAGAGCCTCCAGGTGATTCAGAGGACTCCAAACCTAGATGGGAAGGGGTAGGCCAGGGCCAGTATGAAGAGGCCTGCCAGGTCCTCCAGCCCTGAGCAGAGGCCATGGGTGGTCAGCAGCCTCATGGCGTAAGCCTGTCTGCCCCCTTCAGATTGCAGAGGTGCTAGCCCTGGCTCCTTCCACAGCCTGGACCATGACCATGAGTAGAAAGGACCTGAGTCCCATCCACCTGCCAGGGCCCTCTTCTCTAGGAAAGGGCCCTGTCTCTAACACCCCTCCCTGACTCTCAAGCTCAGACGCCACCTGCTGGCAAAGGTTAGCACTGCACCTGGGTCCACAGTCCAAGGGTAGTAGCCCACAATGGCTGAGACCCACCCCAAACCCCTCCAGAACCAGGCCATTTTGCAGCAGCAGCAATGACTCCATCTCCTATAGCTGAGTTTCTCTTGGCTTCCCAGAACCTGTCCTCTGCTTCTCTATGAGACACAGAGAGGCAGCAGACTGGGAAGAGGAAGGGAAAAGGGAGGGAGGATAAGGGAAGGAAAGGGTGGGGGAGGGGAAGAGAACAAAGAAGACGGCCTGGCTGGATTCCCATGGGTGTTCTACCCAACCGAACTTGGGGCAAAGCAGTGGCCTGGGAATCAAAAGGTCTGAGGCCTTCACTGGCTGCTGCTCTGGTGCCCTTCCCTGAGCTGAGTGGCCCCAGCCCCCTACCTAGGCTAATCCCTAGCCAGCATGGCATGCCCTCACCTCTACACTAACCAGCTATTGTTCATGGATTTGGATTGCTCAGAACCGAAAGTAAAGCATGGGGTCCAGGGGCTGCAGCCTTGACCACCTCCCCAGCCCCTCCATGCTGGCTGGAGACACTACTCGGGCCAGCCCAACTGCCAGGGAAGGGCCTGGCACAGGTGCTCCTGACGTCAAAGGCACAGACGTGCCCCCCCAGCACATTACCCCCCCTCTTGCCTCAAGCTCCACTCGGCCAACGCCCTCTCCTGCAGGGGCGGCTCCTCAGCCTGGGCGCAGAGTCCACCAAGCTCTTGGACCCAGAAAGGGGGCGATGCATGACAGACTCAGTTTCACTCCATAACTATGATGCTACGGGCCTCTCCACTGAGGGTCCCAGGGCTGGTGTGGAGCCAGGTGAGTGGGGCCTGATAGACATCTTCCTGGGGGAGGACAGAGCAGACCCCAAGATGTATCATGGGAGGAGCTGGAGGAGGAGGGAAGAGCTAAGTGAGTGACTTCCCTCCACCCTCACGCCCTCACCCCCACTCACCCAGCCTCCCACACAGCCCCTTTCCCCTCCCTCCACCCACAGACAGAAAGTGTGTCACCAGGGAACAAATGCCATCTTCCCC